TTAACTCCACCCGTTGCCACCACTTGGGGAGTGAACCAGCGGACATAAGACATTTCTCCCTGTACCTCCTTCTCCCTGTATATGACTTTTCAATTTAAAAAAAAAAAAAAGGCATCTTAAAAAAAATGAATGAAACCATTTCAGCAGTTATCAATTAATGGACATGAATGTTATGATTTATATATTTTTATTTAAAAAAGAGAAAGATGTACTTTATTTGAAAGAGAGAGAGACCTAAGAAAGATAATGACAGATCTTTCACCCACTGGCTCTCTTCCTTAAAGATACTAACAGCCAGGTCTGGGCCAGGCTGAAGCCAGGAGCCGGGCCACCGCCCACTGCCTTCCCAGATGCATGAGCAAGAAACTAGAAAAGCAGCAGAGTAGCTGGAACGCCAACCATGGGAATGCCTGCGCCAGACAAAAGCTTAACCTGCTGCGTTCCAAGGCCAGCCTTAGCTTTTTATTTTTTAATAAATATTTTAATGATAAATTGGTTTTAGAAAGCATTCTTATATTTTTGTGGGGCCCAGCACAATAGACTAGTGACTGAAGTTCTCGCCTTGCACACATCAGGATCCCATACAGGGACCAGTTTGTGTCCTGGTGGCCCCACTTCCCATCCAGCTCCCTGCCTGTGACCTGGGAAAGCAGTTGAGGATGGTCCAAAGCCTTGGGACCATGTGCCTGCATGGGAGACCTGGAAGAGCTCCTGGCTTTGGATCAGTGCAGCTCCAGCCATTGCACTCACTCGGGGAGTGAATCATCGGACGGCAGATTTTCCTGTTTGTCTCTCCTCCTCTCTATATATCTGACTTTGCAATAAAAATAAAGAAATCTTTAAAAAGAGAGAGAGCTGCTGACAGCTGCCAACAGACCAGGTGTAGGGGCCCACGTGTGCACATGAACGTTTGCAGCCCCAGGCAGGCAGGCAGGATTGCAGGCAGGCAGGGCCCCAGGCTAGCATGCTGCCTTACCAGAAGACCAGGCTCAGCGACCTGCATGTTTGTGGCCTTGGGGGTTGTGGATTGCTTAGGGAAGGGGCTATTGCGATATGTGGGAGGACCGACCACTGAGGGTGTACGTTACAGGTGAGGAATGATTTCTTGGGCACCTCTACCAACCAGACAACTGCACTTGCAGGTAAATCAGAGGACCTTTCCGGGTCAGACCAATGTATTGCCCACCTGGGAGACCTGGGCTTGGCTAGTTAGCATCAACCACTGCCAGCCTGTGCATATTAAAGCTAGGGCTAAGTGGGGCCTGCCTGGCAGAGCTGGACCACATTACCTACCAGTGAGACTCAGAGAAAAGAGCTGGTCATGTTAGCCTGGGCCATGACACTAACCATTACATAAGAGGACTAGCTCTGGGGACAAATTCTGTCAGGGATCGTAGGCTTATCCCTATGGGACTGTAACACCGCTCTGGTTTGCTCAAGGGCTAAGGTTGGTGATAAGCTGAGCTAGCCATGACCACAGAACTCACTGACACTTATGGGGTTATGTCAGCTGGGGTTGGAAAGTCAGGGCTGGTCTAGGCTACAGCACCCACAGGATGACCCAAAAGTGACGTGGGGGACAGGGCCAAAACACACACACAAAGGTCAAGACAGGGGGCAGACTATACTATGTAGCGGCCTAGTACCCGCTGGCACACATGAGATCTGGGTCTAGGAGTGGGCCAATGGTCCAACAGGGGAACTATCCTGGTGGGTGGAAGTTCCTGCTGGTGAGCACCAAAATCAGGGCTAGGTAGGGAGCAGGCCAGGCAATGCTGCTCCACTTGTCAGCAGGTGTGTGGGTTGGTTTAGCGGGGCAAACCAGGCAGTGTCGGGCTAAACCATAGCACCCTGACATGTGCAAGAGTCAGGATGAGATACAGGGAATGATGGGCTAGGCTATCACATCCACCAGGCTTGTGTGAAAGCCAAGGATGGGACAGCCTTGGGCAGGGTTAGGCTGTAGCACCCACCAGTCAGAGTTAGCCTGAGGACAGGACAGGCCACAGTACAGTCCAGGCCAGACCACAATACCCGTTGGCATACATGTTGGTCAGGCCTGGGGACAGGGTGAGCCAGAACAGGCCAGTCTGCAACAGCCACTGGCAGGTGCAAAAGTCAGTCTCTACTCCCTATAAATCTGACTTTCCAGGACCTGGCACAGTAGCCTAGCAGCTCAAGTCCTTGCCTTGTATGCACCAGGATCCCATATGGGCACTGGTTTTAATCCCAGCGGCCCCACTTCCCATCCAGCCCCCTGCTTGTGGCATAGGAAGGCAGTCAAGGACAGCCCAAAGCCTTGGGACCCTGCACCCGTGTGAGACACCCTGGCTCCGGGCTCTAGGCTTCAGATCATCACAGCTCTAGCCTTTGGATCAGCACAGCTCCAGCCATTGTCACCACTCAGGGAGTGAATCTCGGAGGGAAGACCTTCCTCTCTGTCTTCCCTTCTCTCTGCATATCTGACTTTCCAATAAAAATAAATAAATTTTATATTTTAAAAAAGTCAGGTCTGGGGTCACCTTAAATGAGATGTCTTGCAATCCCCAACTGGACCACCAGACTCAAAACTCCATCCACAGGAAGATCGCAGAATTTGTGGTCCAACCTTGGAATGCATGTGTCAGGACTGGGCCTCATTGATTGCTGATGCCTATGGGCATAAAGGGGATGTGACAGACAGCTCATTTAGGCCTGAAGAGGACATCAAGCGTCATGTAAGAAGATGGAGAGCAAAACAAAGGTGAACACAACTCTCCTGGCCAAGCTTTGGCAGCAAGTGTCTGGATGAGCAGATACACCAGGGTGGACTCTCAGCCAACGGACCTTGGAAGATTTTCTCCAACATGTAGCAACAAAACCAACCACATCTTGGAACTATCAGAATCACTCATGCAATATTCTCAGAACATTCTTCTCCAAACTGGTGTTTCTAAGATGACAACAAGTGGACATCCCTCATCTCCGAGGACTGATGCAGTTTGACAGCTAGGAGCAGTCCCCTCCTCATCCCTCACTCTGCCCCCTGCACCTCAGACCAGGAGAAACGGGAAGCATTTATCCCCCCTACCTTCCACCATACCTCAACCCACCCACCCTAATCAGTGATCTCAAGGGCGTGCATCCTTGTCAGATATGTAAACACCATCAAAAGTAAAATTTCTTCTCTATGCACACATACATACATATATAAAGAATGATCAGCAATCGGTGTGTGCCCTCAAAGGGGACCCAAGGCTAGCAGCCTCCTGACCATGTGTAAGCACTCCCGGGCCACTGCTCTCGGTGACTCTGCTGTGCCCAGGCCTCCACCGGACAGACTGGGGAATGGGACAACCCGTGTAACGTTCCTCTGAGCCAGACTATATAGTCTGGCAGATCCACAGTGTGAGGACAGCTGAACAAGATGACAACTGAGACAGCTGCCACTGCCTGCAGTGTGAGAGCTAAGGATGCAACAGGACCATGACCACACACAGCCCAGAGACCACGCCAGACAGCAGTTCAGCTGAGCTTCCAGAGAACCAACCAGGAACCACTGCTGCTTTCTTGAGAAAATTCTCCAGGCAGTTAGCTTTCAAGACACACCCTGGGGACTCCGACTCAACACCACTTGGTCCTCACCTGGCTACCAGCCACAGTGCATCTGTGTCCTACTACTGACCTGGGGGACAATCAGATGGGCTTTCAGACACAGGGCAATTCCAGAGGCTCCTGACCAGGCACCACAATTCAGATATCAATTTTAAAGCTCCATGTGATGAGGAGTGACCAGGACAGGTTGCACAATCAGAGGAAATATGGCCCAACCAGACCATGTCTGCTGTTTATTTTGCAAGAACTACCTGAGACTCCACTGCGTGCCCCACCTGATCCCCACGTAGCAGCCAATCACAGCAGGCTGCTCGGGCTCCTCCCTGCATGCCCCACCTGACCCCTGCGCAGCAACCACTCACACTCCTGAGCTGGTCTGCCCACAGTGAGCCTCTGGAGGAGGAGCTCAAGCCCAGCACTGGGAACACTGGGAAGAGTCAGCAGCTCCAGATTCTCTCACATACAGATAGCTAGAAGCTGACAGATGCTGAACCACAGCCATGCTCTCACATGGCAGAATCTGAACCACACCTCAAAGGGCAGCTGGCTCTGTCCCTGTAAAAATGGAACAAGGGAGTTCCAAGACAGGAAAGCATTCAGGAAGCATGCAGCGGGATGATCAGCAACAGGGTGAGCAGTGCAAACAGCTCAGCAGAGCCGCTGCAGACAAGGAGCTACAGGCTGGCTGGCAGAGGGCATGCCAGACGGGATGGAGTGTGAACGTCAGGCCCAGTGTGCATGTGGTGGAGACATACCTTCCTCCCAGAGGCTTCCCCAGAGCTGCCTGGGATCTCTAACCAATCAGCATGGACACTTACACGTGCACACACATGTAAAAGAAGCTGCACCCTCCACCCTGACACACACTGAGAACCAAGTATGCAGTGAACACTGTGGTATGTTAGTCCTCAAGGCAGCAGGAGCAGAAACCAGGTGGGAAGCCAGTGAGTTGAAGTTTCTGCGGTCTCTGCAAAGATCCTCAGGAGCCTACGGATCAGCAGGAAAGATGTCGAGTGCTGGTTACCTGTCAGCTGGCAGACAGGTGAGGCAGGGAGTACCAGACCACTCGGAAACAGCACAGCATGCTAGCCACATCTCAAGGGACAGGAAACCCAGCACCAGGGCCTGGCGGTCAGTGGCAGGGGACACAGTCCCATAAGATGGGCTCACTCTTAGCCTCCAGCAGGGCCTGGGCTGGCAGCACCCCACTCGCCTCCCATTGCCCAGCTCTGCCACCTTGGAGGTTCTGGGAACTGTCTACCTAGAGCACCTGCTTTTCAAAAAGACAGACTGTATCAAAGAGGAGGAGCTCAGCTCCAGCTACACGAGCAACATGTGGAATGCAGATGGTATCGGCTGTTCCTCAAAGGGGGAGTCACGTGCAGCCAGCAGCCTGCCATACTCACCTGGACAGTCGGCTTCGTCACTCTTATCCTCACAAGTAGCCCTGCCGTCACACTGCCACCGCAGGGGGATGCACTGGATGGCACCGCTGCGACAGGCAAACTGCCCAGGGTTGCACCTCAGTTCTGTGGAACCAAAGGATGAGAGGTCAGGGAGGAAGTGGTAGAGACTGGGAACAGCAAAGCCTGCTGCTGCGAGGCCTGGGCAGTGTGCACCAGAGGCCAGGCGGTGCCTCTAACCTAGAGGCCCCACACACTTCCCAGGTGGAGCAGATCACAGCAGCACTGACCCAACAGAGCACCACGGGGATGACAATTTTCTTTTTTTAATTCATGTATTTATTTTGGAAAGGCAGAGTTACAGAGAGAGAGAGAAGGAAAGACAGAGAGATCTTCCATCCACTGATTCATTCTCCAAGTGGCCACAGTGGCCGAAGCTAAGCTGACCTTGGCAGGAGCCAGGAGCTTTCTCTGGGTTCCACATGGGTGCACAAGTCCAAGCACTGGGGTTTTCCTCCACTGCTTTCTCAGGCACATTAGCAGAGAGCTGGATCGAAAGTGGAGCAGCACAGTGCCAGTCTCAAGTTTCTTTCTTCCTTTTTTTTTTTTTTAAGATTTATTTATTGACGCTTGGCACTGGAGCAGAACAGGTGAAGGCACTGCCTGTGATGATGCCAGTTTCCATTCGGGCGATGGTTCAAGTCCTGCTTGCTCCACTTCCAATCCAACTCCCTGATGATGGGTCTGGAAAAATAGCAAATGGTGGCCCAAGTGCTGCGTTCCCGTACCCATGTAGGAAACCAAGAGAAGCTCCTGTTTTCTAGCCTCCACCTGGCTGAGCCCGAACTGTTATCATCATTTGTGGAGTCAACCAGCAGATGATAGCTAGCTCACTCGCTTGCTAACTTTGCATTTCAAATAAATACATCTTTATTAATTTAACAGAGTGACACACAGAAAGAGATAAAAACAGAAATATCTTCCACCTGCTGATTCACTGCACAAATGGCCTGCAACAGCCAGGGCTGGGCTACACCAAAGACTAGAGCCTGGAACTCCATCGGAGTCTCCCGAATGGGTGGCAGAGTTCTAAGCACTTGGGCCATAATCTGCTGCTTTGCCAGATACATTAGCAAAGAGCTGGATCGCAAGTGTATGGCCCCACAACGGTGCTTTTTTTTTTTTTTTTAAGATATATTTATTTTTACCTACAGAGAGGAGATACAGAGAGGAAATAGAAAGACCTTCCACCCACTGGGTCACTCCCCAAGTGGCTGCAATAGATGGAGCTGAGCTAATCCAAAGCCAGGAGCCAGGAGCTTCTTCTGGGTCTCCCATGCAGATTCAGGGTCCCAAGGCTTTGGGCCGTTCTTGACTGCTTTCCCAGGTCACAAGCAGGGAGCTGGATGGGAAGTGGATCAGCCGGGATACAAACCAGCGCCTTTATGGGACCCCAGCGCATGCAAGGCAAGGACTTTAGTCACTAGACTACTGCTTCAGGTCCACTTCCCCCCACTCAACACACACACACACACACACACACACACACACACTCTCTCTCATCTGAAAGAGCCAGAGAGAGGGAGAAACAGAAAAAGACCCTCCATCCCAGATGGCCACACAGGCAGTGCTTGACCAAGAGGAAGCCAGGAACCAGGAGCTTCCTCCTGGTCTCCCACATGAGTGCAGAGGCCCAAACACTTTGGCCTTCCTACACTGCCTCTCCCAGGCCATCAGCAGGGAGCTGGATCAAACGCAGAGCAGCTGGGACTCGAATCAACACCACACAGGAGGTGAGATGGCAGCCCCACTCACTACACCACAACACTGGCCCTATAATGGTGATTTTCACAAGCTACTTGACACAGACTCTAAGTCAAGCCTTGCACTGACCCAAGGGAGCCAGGGGTGACGAGGGGCACCGCACAGCTCCTCGCAGGTTGGCTCTGAGTCAGCTGGACAAATACATGCACGAGTGAGTGTACACACACATACGTGTCTCACATGGCAAATGGGGATCTTGCCCACAGCAGGACTCCAGCAGCACAACAAGCCAGAGGAACCTTTCCACATCTGGGCTCTGAACTTCTGCTTAAAAATGGGACCTAGCGCAGGTGCTCAGTCTAGCAGTTAAGCTGGTGCTTATGATAGATATCCCAGACCCACATCATGTGCCCAGGTTCAAGACCCAGCTCTAACACCAGACTCCAGTTTTCTGCCAACACACACCCACTCCTAGACTGTGTTCCTGGCTCCCAGCTTCAATTCAGCCCAGCCCTAGCCAATGCAGGCACCTGGGAAAATAACTAGTGCAAAGGGACTCACTCTGTTTTGCAAATAAATTAATATTTTTTTCGAAGAACATAGGGTCTAACCAGGGTCTCCAAGACAGGTAGCTGTTGCAGAAGGAAAAGCAGGGCTTCCAGAGACACCAGGGAGTGGCACAAGCGGGCTGCAGCAGCTGCCAAACAGGGACACACTGAGTAAGATGGGACCCCAAGGCAGATCACGGAGGCTGAGGGGAAGTAAATGGCAGACCTTTACCTGGTACATCTCCAGGAGCCAGTTAAAACCAGCAGTGGTCTCCGGGAGCAATTATCAGAGAAATGTTAGATGATTTGGCAAAGCACAGGCTAGCACTAAGGAAGGGGTGCCCGACCATGAACCTGGACCAAGTCCTAGCCCTTCCTTCTGTGAGAGATTTCTACTTTGCTTTTGTTTGTTTAGATGTTCACTTATCTATTTCAATGTCTGAAAAACAGAGACAGACATCTCCCATCAGCTGGGTCACTCCCCAGTATCTGCATCAGTTAGAAATGAGTCAAATCGAAACCTGGAGCCAGGAACTTGGTCCAGGTCTCCATGTGGTGGCAGGGACACAAGTCCTTGTGCCATCACCTTCAGCCTCCAGGGTGTGCATCAGCAGGAAGCTGAGACAGAAACAGAGTCAGCACTCAAACCCAGACACTCCAGTAAGGGATACCAAATCCCAGGCAGTGTTTCAGTTGCCATGTCAGGTCCCCACTACCAGAATGACCGGTCCTCAGCAGCTTCGGGGAATCACAGCAGAGGAGCTACACCAGTGTGGCCCACAGAGTGGGAAACAGTAACTTTCTGGAACGTCAGTAAAACTGTGCAGACCCAGAGCTGGGGCGCAGACCCAGAGGAATCAACGCGGAGCACAGCAGGGGGTACTGACACAGGCCAAGAGACACAGAAGACCAAACAAGCCCTGCCTGGCCTTCCTGTGGCCAGGATCATTTCACTTAAAGGAGGAGAAAAAGGGAAGTGATTTCACTGCTATGCTAAGCTGCCCAGGCAACTCTGAAACCCGATCAGGGAGGAAACGCAGGCTACACCTGATCCCAGCCCACCCACCCAGTAGGGTGCTGCCGACACCAGAGTCCCTGGGGGAAGACAGTGCTGGGCCAGCACAGCACGAACCTCAACCCGCATAATGACTTCCAAGATGGGAGAAGGAAGAAGGGTCAGAGGGCAAGGGGCTGTTCTGTTCCCTCCCATCACCTGCCACTTCCAGGCAGCCAATCCACTCAACAGAACCAGAAAGACAGCCTTTACCAGATGTGTCACACTGTAACTACGGTCACATGCCACGTAAAGGCTTTTGGCGAGCTGGAGTCTTAGGAGTCAGAGAGACTTGAATTAATTACCCTCCTGGGCATCTTTATAAAGGGGGGGGGGGAGGGGGACAGGTGTGTGGCCCAGTGTTCCCAAATCGCAATGCCTGTATCTAACCCATGCTCTGGCTCCTGACCCCAGCTCCCTGCTAATGCAGACCCTGGAAGGCAACAGGGAGTCGGATTGCTGCTACCCATGTGAGAGACCTGGACTGCGTGCCTGCCTGCTTGGACTGGCCCAGCCCTGAGGGGTGGGGCACCTGAGGTCTAAAAACAAGTGGATGGGAGATCTCTTTTTCTACCCATCAAGTAAGGTTTTTTTCTTTTTTAAACTGTTTTTTTTTTTCTTTTAAAAAGAAAGAATAAAATCAGAAGAAATGGAGGGAGACATGGAGTGAGGCAGACTCAAGACACTCTTAGGGGAGAAATGAGGTCTCCACCCAGCGGGAGGGGTGGGGTACCAGCTGGTGGCTCTCCACTGGCTCCCCATACACCCACCTTACATCCTGTCAGTCATGGTGCAGGAGGCAAAGAACCAGGCTAGGGATAGGCATTCTAACTGAACACCTGGATAATTCTGCCTGGAGAGGAGTTACCCCCTTCGGCCTCAGCATCCTAATCCCTACAACCCGCCAGTCTCATGACTTACCCACAGCAGGGCTGTCGGCGAAGGCTGTGCACAACTGCACCTAAACTCCCAGACCACACTGAGCACCTCAAAGGCCCTGGGGCATTTAGCCTGCACCCCCCCCCCCAGCACAGGAAATACACACATGACAGAGAGTGGAACTGAGAGCTCATCAAACAACCAACCAAGCACAGAGCATCACAGAACCCAAATTCAAAGGACCCTGGGCCAGCTGAGCCCTCCACCTTTTTTCTCCAGGAAGAAACTGACACCCACCAAATGACTTGAAAAAGGCAATGCGGCAGGGGAGTGTTGGGGAGAGGGAGACAGAGTGCTCAAAAATGAAAAACAGGGAATTTGGACCCAGTGTGGTTGCCTGGTAGCTGAAGTCCTCGCCTTGAATGTGCTGGGATCCCATATGGGCGCCAGTTCTAATTCTAGCAGCCCCGCTTCCCATCCAGCTCCCTGCCTGTGGCCTGGGAAAGCAGTCGAGGACGGCCCAAAGCCTTGGGACCCTGTACCCGTGTGGGAGACCCAGAAGCTCCTGGCTCCCGGCTCCGGATCAGCTCAGCTTGACTGTTTCCCCATTCCACAAGCAGGGAGCTGGAATTAGAAACAGCACCCATATGGGATCCCAGCGCATGCAAGACAAGGACTTTGGCCAAAAGGCTATGGCACTGGGCCCACCCAAGGTGGTTTTACCATCAACCCTGTTTTTTCTTCTGTTTTTCTTTTAAGAGTTTTTTTTTAATTGGAAAGTGAGATATTTATATATAGAGGAGGAGGAAGATATCTGAGTTCACTCCCCAAGTGAATGCAATGACGGGAGCTGTGCCGATCCGAAGCCAGGAGCCAGGATATCTTCCAGATCTCCCACACGGTACAGAGTCCCAAGGCTTTGGGGCGTCCTCAAATGCTTTCCCAGGACACAAGCAGGGAGCTGGACGGGAAGCAGGGCCGCTGGGATTAGAACAGGCACCCATATGGGATCCTAGTGCTTAGAAGGCGAGGACTTTAGCCACTAGGCCACTGCACCGGGCCCCATCAACCCTGTCTTAACAGGTAGCAGGCAAGAGCCGAAAGGAGACAGAAGACAGGCCAACCAAATTCTTGGCAGCTGCTAGAGATCAGAGGGGAGGCCGCCTTGAGGGAGAGGCCTGGCCAGGAACTACAGATGACAGCCAAACCACAGGGACTTAAGCAACAGCCACACCAGGCACAGGGAGGAGCCAGCTACAGCCTCAAGCAGAACAAGCGCATTTTCCTAGCCAGGTACCAGGCAAGCCCGTCAGAGGGGCAGTCCCCTGCCCACCCCCCAACTCCAGGCTAGGAAGCCACTCTAAGTGAATACCCACGTTAGCGAGAAGCCCCTCACACCTGCACAAACTACCCATGCCCTGCCCAGCAGGGTGCCCAGGGCAGATGACTGCACAGCCAAGCCCGCTGCCACCAATCCCTTCTCTTCCAGAGGCCTTTCTGCAGGACAGCCAAGAGACCCCACCTCCTCTCTGCACCCACTGGGGCACTTATGAAGCCACTAAGGAATCTGCCGTTCTTCATGCCAAAACATTAACGTGCACTTGTCCAGGAACCGACTTCTGAGCACCACTCTGAGCCTCACTAAGCTCTGGGGACTCAGTACAAAATAGACAAATGGGGCCCGGTGCCATGGCCTAGCTGCTAAAGTCCTCACTTTGAATGCACACACACACACAACCAGGAGAAGGTGGAGTCAGGCAGATAAAGTAAAATGTTAGCAGCTAAGTCTAAGCAAAGGATACACAGTATTTGTACTGGTTTTATTTTTGCAACTTTTGTGCTTGCAAAAACTTTCCAATTAAAGGTTCCTTTTGGGGCCCGGCAGCGTGGCCTAGCAGCTAAAGACTTTGCCTTGAATGCGCCAGGATCCCATATGGGTGCAGGTTCTAATCCTGGCTGCCCCGCATCCCCCATCCAGCTTCCTGCTTGTGGCCTGAGAAAGCAGTCAAGGATGGGCCAAAGCCTTGGGACCCTACACCCACGTGAGAGACCTGGAAGAAGTTCCTGGCTCCTGGCTTCAGACCGGCGATCTTCCTCTCTGTCTCTCCTCCTCTCTGTATATCTGACTTTGTGATAAAAATAAAAAAAAAAAATCAATCTTTAAAAAAAAAAAGGTTCCTTTTCTGGAAAAGACAGTCAACAGTGCAGTCGGGGTGGTTCCAACCTTAAAAGAAGAAAGGAAAGGGTTGACCCTGGAGCCCAATCAGCCAGCAGGACACACTCCAAGTGCCACAGTGTGGCGACTGAAGAGGAAGGCACCCCCAAACTCTTGCTCTTCTGAGCTGCAGTTACTTTCTGATGGGGTAAAGCTACCCACTCTTCCTCTGTGCTACCGCACAAAACAGAAAACACTACACTCCTAAGCAAGGGGCTGGGCCCTCCCCAGCTCACAGGATGGCCATCAGGTGGCCACCTCCTAGCCCCTCACATAAAGGGACAAGGACCCTCAACTGGAGCCAGACACCTAACCTTGAGCCCTGCCCTGCAGCTCCCCCAAGCTGTGTCATCTTCATCAAGTCACCTGCCCCTTCCAGCTGGCTCTGGGGGAAGTCTAAGGAAGATCAGCTACTGCCCAGGGGACCGAGCTGAGCACAGCTCTTAGAGGGCCAGCAATGGTAAGTGGTGACCAGGGACCTCGGGCCATGGGGACAGTGCTCAACTCCCAAAACAAACGTCTTTTCTCCCCCATATAGTGAGGCTGAAACAATTCAAAGTACAAAGCCCCCTCTTTGGAATCAGCGACTGATGCTGTGCTGCCTGCACCGGTAGCAAAAGGGTCAATGATACAATCAGCGGCCACCCAAAGGACCCGTCTCACGGTCACAACTGCCTCAGCACAACTCCACGCTCACTTCTCACCACGATACGCGTCCTCCGTGGCCATTATGATCAATGACAGGAGCTTCTGGGATAGATGGGCAGTTGTGTCTCTCAGTTGGAAGAAGGTTTCTCTCCTTCTAGTGGACCCCTGGGATCCATCCACCGGGGTTAAGAAACTGTTCAAAGCCCAACCTGAGGCCGGGCCAGGCCAGCCCTCCACCACCTAGAACAAAAGCCCTCTGAAGTTTATCTTCCCTATCCAGAAAATAGTACAAACAGTTCCTACAAGAGACCACCTATAGGTTCTTCAGGGCCTGGTGCAATGGCTAAATTCTTACCTTGCATCCCAAAGGATCCTATATGGGCGCCAGTTCTAATCCTGGCTGCTCCACTTCCCATCCAGCTCCCTGTCTGTGGCCTGGGAAAGCAGTTGAGGACTACCCAAAGTCGTGGGACCCTGTGCCCGCATGGGAGACCCAGAGGAAATTCTGGCTTCTGGCTTCAGATCAGCTCAGTTCCAACTATTTGGAGAGTAAACCAGCAGATAGAAGATCTTACCCTCTGTTCCTCTTTTTCTTAGAAAATATGATATCTTTCCAATAAAAACAAATTTTATTAAAGATAAAAAAAAAAGGTTCTTCAACATGTTAGTACTCAGAACAGCACCTGGTACATGACACGGTCTGCACCCACCAAGAGCACATGTGCATGAAACGCCAATTCTAGCACACAGGTGCTGCCTGCTTTCAGAAACGCTTCCCACCCTGAGAGGAGCTGCCCGTAACTGGGCCATATCCTCAGTGGCCTCAGCAGGCAGGTGTCACAGGACGACCCCCCCGCCGCTTCCTAACTCCTGAGAAGCAGGGTTTGGGCAGGGACTCTCATCATATCCCAGTGGGCTTCTTCTAAGCCATGCCCCAAAAAGTGAGAAGAACAAGACCAGAGAAACCTCTACCCTCCTGGCCCAGGGCAAGACCCAGCTTCATTGCCAACTCAATCTGCAAGCTGGGGGAGCCTCCCTCCCCGTCTCTGCAGGGCAACCAAAGACACCAACTGCCCTGGAGACAGAAGGCCATGGATGAAGCTGACTTTTCTGGGGCCGGCTTTATGGTACAGCCTGCAATGCCAACATCCCAAATGGGCACTGGTTCAAGTCCCACCTACTCCACTTCCCATTCAGCTCCCTGTTGTTGCACCTGGAAAAGCAACAGAGGACAGCCCAAGCCCTTGGGTCCCTGCCACTCATGCGGGAGACCCAGATGTAGCTCTTGCCTCCTGGCCTCAGCCCAGCATTGTAACCATTTGGGGAGTGAATCCACAGCAGATGAAAGATCGGGTTCCCTATCTTTCTTTGTCTCTCTGTGTTTCAGATAAGTAAGTAAAACCTTTAGAACAATAACAACCACAAAAAGCAGCTCGGCTCCCTCCACCAGAGCCACTCCCCCTGCCCCCACATCCCTCTCTGATCTCACAGGTCTCCCATGGTCCCCGGCGCTGTCTCACAAGTACACACGATAGCAGCCTGTGGTGCTCAACACACAGGGTCTGATGCCCGACTCACGCCGGCCTCCATGCCAGGCCCTCCTAGAGAGGGCTGCTCCCTGCATTCAATCTCACTAGCAACCACCACTCCAGATGCTTTGAGAACTGCTGCAGGCCAGTTGGCAGCACGGGTGAACACAGCAGCAAGGGAAAGGGGGTGAGGGACACCAGTCACTTCTGTCATCCCAGTGGGAGACACTGGACCTGGAACCAGGGGCACCCCAAGCAGACAAGCAAGCAAGAGCCCAGCAAGAGAGTGGGAGCCAGGATGGGAACAGGATGCCACTGCACTCACTCTGCAAGCATATACGGGTTTTCTGAAGAACTGAACCCCAAGGACCCACAAACAGCATCAACTCTGACCACCAAGAGCCTTTGTGGTCCCCACCTCCCTCTCTATTGCACTGCTCTTCCTACAGAGGGTACGAGCTGCCCAGAGCACAACCAGCTCGGCAAGGGAACCAGCAACGACTCACCAAGTTTTGCCAGGTCGGCCACTGGCCCAAGGCCAGAGCAACCAGGTAGGCACACGGGGGAGGACCTGGACGTTCCACTGCAGATACAAAGGCACAGAGCCAAGAGGTGTAGTAGTGTCTGGTGGGAGTCTAGCAAGGGCCTAGCGGGGATCTGCACGCCCATGTGCACCCAAAACCCAGCTTCAACCGTGCTCCAAAATGGGACTTGTGCCTTCATGGGACCCACGAAGGATCATTTTCTTCCCCACAACGGGTATGCCCATTTATGTTAAAACAGCTTCTCTGACGCCCAAGTTCCTTCTGAGATGCCGTACATCCCTAAATGGACAGTATGATGGATACTGCCAAATGACGGACGGATCAGACCTGCAGCCAGACAACCGTGATTTTGCAATGGTGCCCGAACCAGGTAGGAACGGGGCCTTCTGGCTGCTCCCGCCACAGGCTTCGGAAACACTGCAGGCTCAGAGTCCCCAAAGCATTTAATGACTCGGCGCGAGCCGGGAGCACTCCAGGCGCCAGGCCCCAAACCCCGAGCGCGCGCGAGAGTCCTCCAGCGCCAAGACGCCTCACACAACCACAAGCCGCGCTCGTCCCGCGCTGAGGGGACTGGCCCGAGGCCACGGCCCGCCGCCCGCCCGCCCGCCTGCCCAAGCCGGCTCCTCGGCCAGCCGCTCGGGCCCGGCTTCGGGGCGCAGCACCGGGAGCCCCGACGCGCCAGGACGCGCGCGCCCCTCTCCGGGAGCCGACCACCCCGGGAGTCGCCGCGCACGGACCGCGACCGGGCGCCGCCCCCTGCCGCGCCCCCCGCGCCCCCACCTCGCCGCGCACCTGGCCGCAGCGGCTCGGTGACGGTGAGCACGAGCAGGAAGAGCAGCAGGAAGGCACCGCTGTCTGCCTTGGGCACCATTTATCCTCCGTTCATCGTCCCCCGGACGGCCGCGTGACCCCGCGGGGAGGCCGGACCGGGCCGGACTGAGGGGCTTAGGGCTTGAGGGGTGAGGGTCAGGGGGATGGGCCTGGCCGCGGACGGCCGTAGAGAGGCGATGGGAGAGCACTCCGAAGGGGGAGAGCCACGGCGAGGCTGGACCGAGGGCGTCGCGTGCACTCTCGGCCGCAGCCTCGGGCTCCGACTCCGGCTCCGCGCAAGATGGCGGCCGTCCTGCTCGGCCCCGCGCCGCCCCGCCTCCTCTGCCCGCGACGCCGGCGCGGACCAATGAGCGCCGAGCTGGGAGGCGTGGCCAGCGCGTTCCCCTCTAACGTGTAGGCCGCCAGCCGGGCTGGGGGGCGGAGCCTCAGCGGCAGTGCTCGAAAGGGGGCGAGGCCTGAGTCGCGGGCGGCCGGAGGTGGGTACTAAGGGGCGGGCCCAAGGAGGGTGGGCGGGATTACAAGAATAGATCCTTGTCATTGGTCAAACCGAGAGGTGGGGCCCCGGGGCGGAGGCTGATTGGCGGGGCCTCCAAAAGACCTAGAGTTCCAGGACGCCGGGCTGGGGCGGTCGGGGCGGTCGGGGCGGTCGGGGCGGTCGGGGCGGGCTGGGGCGGTCGGGGCGGTCGGGGCGGCGGGGGCATCTGGATGGGAGAACCGCAGTGACTGACTCTGACTGGGGCTGAGCCTGGGGGGTGGGATGCTCTGGGACCGCGGAGGGGGCTGAGGGAGACCCCTGGACTTCAAAGGTCTTCATACTTGCAGCGCCAGGTCAGATCAGCGGACCAAAGTTACGCTCTAAAGTGAGGTCGAACCGCTGTGGAAAAAGAAGAGAGAGGAAAAAAGCAGGGCTTGGAAGTCCTGAGGAACTGGCAGGTGTGGCTTCACCGACAGGCAACTACAGATGCTTCAGCAGATAAAGAAGTGACCTGTGGCAGTGCCGCCCAGGGAGGGGACCAGGGAGGTCCAAGATACCTCCCAGACAGGAGGCCAGCTCAGCTTGCAAGCAAAGTCCTGCCCCACAACCCAATAGTGGCTGAGGGGGAGTGTATGGAACAAAGTGCTGGGGCCCAGGCCAGGCTCTGGGGCAGGGCTCCGGGAGTTGCCTGCCAGTGCACCTGCCTTCTGAACAGGGAGTTGAAGACAGCAGATGGTGTATTGCTGGCAGGAAGGAGAAGCTGTCCCAGCCTGGCAGGGGGCAGTCATGGGCTGGCCAAGAAGATGAAGAGGAGCTGCCAAGAAAGAAGGGTCCCCAACAGCCCCCAGCCCCACCAACTCACTCCTGAGTGTCCTTCGAAGGATACTGGGATTCCATCTTGTGCCACTTTGTAGTCATGTGAGGCAGGGGCACACCTTCCAGCCCCTGCCAGGCCAGCCTTTCAGCTCCTGCTCCTTCCCCCAGAGTGTATGTCCCAGAGCAGATATTAGACAAAAACAAGGTGAAATCATGGTCCCCAGGACGCATTGCACAGGAGCTGCTGCCAGCACCCAGACTGGGAGCCCCACCCACCCTGTACCCCCACTCCACCCCAGGGAATCCAGCCAGCCAGGCCACAGGCTGCCCAGGATCCCTGGAAGGAACTCACAGCCGGAGAGCAGCCGGATTTCTATCAGTCGGTTGTATCTCCACACAGCCACTGGAAGAAAAGCAAGGCCAGGACAGTAGAGAGAAGAGCGAGGAGGTGGGAAGGCCAGGCAGATCACATAGCACGGACAGGCAGAGTCCTGGGTTTCAAAACTGCAGCCGGGAGCATCAGCCCCCTACAGACCCTCCTCCATCTGCCTCCACTGTACGCTGTGCCCCTACAGGCTGCCAGCGCAAATGGCATCAGGGCCAGGGGACATCCCCTCCATCTCCAGGAGTGGGGTCATGGCCACCTGGCTCTTTTCCCCCTGCTAAAGGTCCATGCTGTCAAAGTATCCTTCATCTCGAGTTCCAGGGGCCTTTCCTCCCCTTCTTCACACAAGGCAGGAAACTGTTGCCACTTTAGGCATGCCTGGGCTACTCCAAGGGAGCTACCTGCCTTTGGAGAGCATTCCTTGATTAAAGCCCAGTCTGATTATCTTTCCATTGAGGGTGTCTTCCATTTCCAGTGGGGGGATGGCCCCCTAAAATTCCTAGGTTGCCCTGGTTTGCAATCACCAGGCCTCACCACCTCTTAAGCTGTTCCGGTTCTAGGTCTGGAGGCATGGACAAGCCAATGTGCTTCCCCCTCACCCTCCTCCTCCCTAAAGTCCCAGCCAAACTCAAGGCCACATTCTCCACTAGCGTCTCATCTGCTCCTTCCCCCTTGAGCCTGACCTTGCAAGGGTACCAGATGCAAGGGGCTGGAGCCTCATTCCCCCATGGCACTCCTCCTTTGTGACTTCACCCACTGAAGTCGCCCAGGAAACAATGCTGAATGTTCCATCCCAGAGTCTTGGCCTCTGGGGAGGCAGGGACAGCAGGCCCGGCCAGCCCAGAGGACTCTGTCCACAGCATAGATGAGGACGAAGCTGGCCCATGTCCCGGAAGGATGTAGAGGGTGAGGAGAGCCTCAGGGGCACTGGGCGCTCCCAGCACCATGGATGACGCTGCCGTCCTCAAGCGACGAGGCTACATCATGGGGATAAATTTGGGAGAGGGCTCCTATGCGAAAGTCAAATCCGCTTACTCTGAGCGCCTCAAGTTCAACGTGGCGGTCAAGATCATCGACCGCAGGAGAGCCCCAACAGACTTCTTGGAGAGGTTTCTTCCTCGGGAAATTGAGATCCTGGCCATGCTGAACCATCGCCACATCATCAAGACTTACGAGATCTTCGAGACATCAGATGGCAAGGTCTACATCGTCATGGAGCTCGCGGTCCAGGGCGACCTCCTTGAGTTCATCAAAACCCGAGGGGCTCTGACCGAGGATGAGGCACGCCCCAAGTTCCGCCAGCTTTCCTCAGCCATCAAGTACTGCCATGACCTGGACATCGTCCACCGTGACCTCAAGTGTGAGAACCTCCTCCTTGACAAGGACTTCAACATCAAGCTGTCAGACTTCGGCTTCTCCAAGCGCTGCCTGCGAGATGACAATGCCGAGTTAGCGCTGAGCAGGACCTTCTGTGGTTCAGCAGCATATGCGGCCCCCGAGGTGCTGCAGGGCATCCCCTACCAGCCCAAGGTCTATGACATCTGGAGCCTGGGCGTGATCCTCTACATCATGGTGTGTGGCTCCATGCCCTACGATGACTCCAACATCAAGAAGATGCTGCGCATCCAGAAGGAGCATCGCCTCAACTTCCCACGCTCCAAGAACCTGACGGGTGAGTGCAGGGACCTCATCTACCGAATGCTCCAGCCGGACGTCAGCAGGCGGCTGAAAATCGATGAGGTCCTCAGCCACTCCTGGATGCACCCCCAGACACGGGTACCGTCCTCCACAGTCATCAACAGGGAGCAGAGGTCTGTGTCGGTCCCTGCCCTGACCCCGATCCCAGAAACTGTCTCTGACAGGAAGTCGGCTACCCAGCTGGAGCCTAAGGAGGAGTCGCAGCCCGAGTCCCCGCCCGAGACAAAACCTGAGGATGATGCAGTGCAGGGGTCCAGGCAGCCTGAGACGCTGGCCTCCCCCAGCGAGCTGCCACCAGGGGACCCAGAGGAAGCGCCCCCTCCTCAGCCTCCTGAGGGAACACACACGTAGGGGAGAGTCTCTTGCAGCCCCGGGGGCCAGCGAGGCCAAGCTCAAGAAGGGAGGAGCCGGAGAAGGAAGACAGTCCCGCAGGAGCCACTATTTTCGTTAGATTCTTCTCCCTCCCTTTGAATTGGGTGTAACCCACCCAGCTACAGAAGCAATAAATCACTATATTAGTGCAGACCCCTGGATGAGTGCCTTAGCCACCAGCTAATCACAGTCCAGGGCCTTCATGGTAGGAATTCCCGGCTCACTTGGATACATCCCAACCGTGACCCAGCTACGACTGGGACCTCAGAGGTGCCCCAGGGTGCAGGGTCTGGGCCCAGGGTGCAGGGAACACCTGGACAGTGCGTAGAGAGGGTGAAACTCAGTGGGAGAGATGCCCTGTGGGACACCCCGTGGATGCAGGATTGGGCTGGGGCAGGGATAAGAAACAAAGAGGGCTGCACAGGGCAAAGTGCCTTTGCTGGGTGACAGTTGGGAGGCCAGGTGAGAGCTAGCATTACCTGCAGCCAGGGCTCAGGGAATGCCCTCATACCACCCACCAAGGGCCTCCAGCCCTACTAGGCTGCCAGGAAGGCTGGGGGTAGAGACTATGTCGAGCAAGCAGAGCTAGCCTCTAGCCCCTCCCAGCCAAGGGATTCATGTGCTTCTGTTCTATCTTCCATGGATGGGCTCCCCCATCTCCAGCCAGCACCCTGTCCTCAACAGTGCCTTCAATCACCTCAACCTGTGGCTATCGCCCCAGCCCAGGAGAAGCCAGGGACCCCGTGAGACAGCCTGGGCCCACTCTCGCCTGACCATGTCCCACAGGATTCTGTGGTCTTGACCACAGTTCATCCCTCCCCTTGCCACAAGAATGGTAGGTAGAATGGATCCAGCATCCTCTCAATGCATGCTGGCTCCTTACAGGCAAGGGAAAGGGATCCAGGAGCGGCATCCAGCAGCAAACGGGCCTCGCGTTTGGCACCCCTGGTTGGCTGGGTGCTGTTTGCCAGGCAGTTCTTAGCCTGTCACAGTGGCTCCTTTCTCTCTACCTTTGTTCTGTACACCCTTGTGGGGGCCTGAGGTTCAACACACATGAGCACAAGAGCTTTAAGACTCATCTCTCCTCACCATGGATCTGTATTCTCTGTCTTGGAGCCACTTCTCACCCAGAAATCCCAGCACCTGGGAGAAGTAGGGTCTAGTGAGAGCCTTGATCTGTCCTCCCTGCACTCCTCCCCACATTCAACCCAATCCATGCCTGGATTCCCCCTGTCCCCACAACCTCCTGACAATATGAGCCAGGACCTCTGCCTCTTATCAGCTCCCAGGGTGGTCAAAGCTATCCCCGCCCCAACCTGCTCATGGCCTTCCCAGAAACATTTGCAGGGAGCTGGGTTGGAAGTGGAACAGCCAGTACTCTGGACTCAAACCAGTAAGCCAACAGGTAATGCTGACACTGCAAGTGGTGGCTTAACCTACTCTGCCCCAATGCCAGCCCTAATAAATCATCAAAAACAGAAGGGTTATTTTAGGGTATGAGGGGGTGGGGGGGGTGCTGAGTCATTGCTTGGGCTGGGGTGGGGACAAGAAACAAAATATCACTGCAAAATTCCAGTTCCAGTTATTCTGTGTTCAGTCCATCTCCCTGCTATGCACCGGGAAGGCAGCATGTGTGATGGGCCATGGGTCTTGTTGCCAATCTTGGAGACCTGACTTGATACTTTGACTCAGCCTGACCCAGCTAAGTGTTTCAGGGTAGTGAACCAGATGCAAAATTCTCTCTCTCCCACACCCACTTCCTTCTCTTTCCCGCCCTCCCTTCTCCTCTCTTCCTCTCTCTCCTTTCTCTCCCTGTCTTCCTCCCCCTTTTCACTATTCTCCCTCTATCCTCCTCTCTCCTTCCCTCCCTACCTCTCACTCTCCCTCTTCCTCTCCACCTCTTTCTGTCACTCTTTTAAATATATTTTAAGCACAGTGTTATCTCTTTTTTTTTTTTTTTAAAAAGTTGTTTATTTTTTTGAAAAATCAGAGTGAAAGAGAGAGGGAGAGGGGAACAGAGAGAGATATTCCATCCTATGGTTTACTCTTACATGACTTCAACAGGGCTAAACCAAGCTGAAACCAGAATCCTGGAATTCCAATTGGATCTCCCATGTGGATGACAGGAGCCCAAGCACTTGGGCCAGAGCTTTAGCAGTAGCTGGACCAGAAGTGGAGCTGCCATGGCTTGAACCAGCGCTCCGAGGGCATGCCAGTGTTGCAGGCAGGAGCTCAACCCACTAGAGTTCTATATGGAAGGAAAAAAAAAAAAGCCCAGTGTACAAAGCTGCCCTGGTTGTCTTGTACTTAGGCAAGTGTTACATTGCTGGGAGAAAAGCAGCCAATAGATGGCAGGCATTCTGGGCCTGGTTAATGCCAAGTCTGTGTTAATTATACCAATGTGCCAGCACTGTTGCCTATTCCTTTTCTTCTTCCTTTTAAAGATGTGCAGAGAAGGCAAGGGACACCAGGCTGGGATTCAATGCCCTGTCACCCAGGCATGCAGTGTACCACGGAGCAGTGTGTATATGTGGAGGTTGCTGTAAGGTCCCATTGGCCAGGCATGCATGGAGGGTGGGGTGGCAGGGACCAGGCCACTGTGCTCACAAATAGGCAAGGGAACTGAGGCTGGGTGTTTTAGAGAGGGGAAAACGGAGGGCATGTCTGGGTTAGGTCAAGGCACCCACTCATGTAGAAGACCTGGGCTGGGCAACATCTCCTGCTGATTGCTGACACATGAGAGCGAGGGCTGGAGGGGGCATGACTGGCTGGGCCAAATCACAGTACCCACCCTTGACTGTTGGAGCAGGGGATGAGCCATGTCAGGCTGGGCTGCAGCACCCAGCAGAATGTGAGAGTACAAGGTTCTGTAGAGGACTTATCCATCTCTGTGGGACTGCTGGTTTATGTGAGAACTGGGGTGGTGATAGGCCAAGCCAGGCTGGACCATGGAACTCACCAACACTTGAGGTAACCAGGCTTGGGGATGGCTGGGCTGGGTCAAGTTGCAAAAGTCAAGTCTGAGTCTGAGAGGAAACCATGCAAGCCTGGCTGAAGCACCCACCAGCATACATGAGATCCAGAGATGGGAACTGGCCTGGTCGGAGAACTTCGGGAATTCCCCTGCCAGGCCACAGCTCCTGAGAGCTTGAGCTAGGAGCAAGCTTGACTGAGCCAGGCCACAACACCCATTGGCACATGTGAGGGTGAAGATTGGATTGTGGGCCACACCAGACTGGGCTAGGCTACAACACCTACCAGTGAATGCCAAGACTGGGGGCAGGCCAAATTGGGCAAGGCCCAAGTACCTGCTGGTGTTTGTGAGAGCCAGAATCAATGTGGAATATGCCAGGCTAGGCCACATCACCACTGGGTCACCCATGAGCCAGGTCTGCTAGTGGGCTAGGCTGGGTTAGGCTGTAGCACCCACTAGTGAGAGTCAGAATGAATGCAGGCCAATTGGACTAGGCCATGATACCCACTGGTAAGCACCAGGACTGGGAACAACCATGTGAGGCCGGGTACACACAGCTCCAGGGATGGAAGCAGCCCTGGTAGGGGGACTCAGAGAATTTCCCTGTTAGGATGCATCTCCCACTGTTGAGTGTGAGAGCCATGGGTGTGAGCAGGTAGTAGGGGAACTTAAGGAACTCTCATGTTAGGCCACTGCTTCCACTGGTGAGCATGAGAGCTGGGACTGGGGGTGGGCCAGGCTGGTTTATGCTTCCATAACCACTGGCAAACACAAGAACCACAATGGTACAAATCAGCTGGGCTAGCCCACAACATTCACTGGCAAGCACCAAGACTGAACCAGTCAGGTTGGACCGCAATAACTCCTGCCAAGCACAAAAGCCAGGGCTGGGAGCAGGCCTGGCAGGGGAACTGTGAGCACTCCCCTGCCAGGCTGCAGCTCCCACTGGTGAACACAAGAGCCGGAGTTAGGGGTAGGTCAGGCTGAGCTAAGCCACAGCACCCATGAATATGCACAAGAGGCAGATGGGTATGGGATGGGCCAGGATAAGACCTTAGCACCTGTCAGCATATAGCCAGGCAACTACATGTACCATTTGCACTGATGGTGCAGGAGACAGGCCAAATTTGACCCTAAACTAACTGGCACACACAAGATTCAAGTCTGAGGTTACTCTAAGTGAGGTTTCTTGGGGGACTCCCCAGTTGTATCAGTAAACTAAAAACATATCCATAGTCTGATTTGGGAGTGCATGTATCAGGACTGGGCCTCTTCAGTTGTTGATACCTGTGCAGTGAACAGGATGCCCAAATGCACTAGCCAGCTTATCTAGGCCAACAGAAGATGCAGAGTACCTCTTTGGTAAGCAGATCAGATCAAACAACTCTCCTGACCAAGCTTTGCAGCAAGCAGCTGGGTCTGTAGATCCACCAGGGTGGGCTCTGTTAACCAACAGATCTTGGATTTTCTCAACCCTGGCACAACGAAACCAATGATGTCTCAGAACTATCAAAATCACCCTCCTTCCCCTCCCCCCATTCCTTAACCCTCCACACCCTAATCAGAGGCACACGTGGGCAGGCATCCCTCTCAACTATGTAAACAACACTAAAAATAACATAAAAAATACATTAAAATATAAAAAGCAGAAGAAAAACAAAATCATGATCTCACCTCACTGGGTCCCTCACAGAGGGAGGACACCCTTGTTCCTGTGAACTCTGTGCCTGGGAGGCCCAAGTGCCCAGCGCCTATGACACCCTCCTCTCCCAGGAGGAAATGTGGACAGAGCAGGATTCCAGAACTGTGCCACCTGTTCTGGTCCTCAGGGAAGCAGATGAGAAAGGCAGCAGTCCTGGGCAGAACCACAGGAGAACTTTCCATGTGCCTTAAATATGAACCAACAGCTCAGAAATAGGTGGACGACCTGCCCACAACCACAGCACCTGGACCAGCAACCCAGAAGTCTGCTCCTCCCCCTCCCCACCCCGCCGGGGGCCTAACTATGCCAGGTGACTCCTGCAGGTGGCCTATCCATGCTGCTGCCACCTCAAGTCATCGCAAGTACAACCATCCCGCTGCAATGGAGAGCAACAGCTCACGTTAGAGAGGAATGTGACTGGCATAGGATGGCAGCACTGGGAGTGATCCCATAGAGAGGCTCCCAGGTTCCACACCCCAGGCCCTGCCTGCACATCCTGGGAGAAGCCCCTGGCTTCCACATTCCATCATGTGCTCCTTGGGCCATGCTGACTCCTGCCGTCTCCAGAAGGTTAGCCAAAAGTGACCATGCTGTCCCAGGTGAGAGCATGGTGTGACACAGCGCACACACACACACACACACAGATTGAGAGAGAAAGCAAGTTAGTGGAGTTAGCCGAGAGAGAGAAGTGAGTTAGTGGAATTAGTCAAAGCGGAATTCCATAGGCAGAGAATCAGAAGTGAGAGGTGGCCATACAGCTGAATCCTAGTTTTATGAATCTTCATGGCCAGCCCCTTTTAGGACACCAAAAGTGATGCAAATTGCTCACAGGGTCAGGCCAGGCCAGGCCAGAACACCTGCTAGCATACACAAGAACAGCATGGGAGGTGGGGGTAAGCCATGCTGCCAGCACATGCAAGAACCAGGGTTAGGGGTAGCCCTGGCAGTGGTTATTTGGGATCACCCTTATTAGACCACAACACCCACTGATGTGCACAAAAGCTGAGGCCTGAGGTGGGTTGGGCTGGGCTAGGCCATAATATCTGCCAGCTACAGCTGGGACTAAAGAGGTGCCAGACTGGGCTAGGCTGTAGCATCCACTAATGTACACTTGAATCAGAAACAGGAACAGGCAGGGTTGGGATAGACCATAGTACTCACCAGTGCATGCAAAAGCCAAGGCTGGGCTAGGTTGCAACACTGGCTGGCAAGAACTGGGTCTGGGAGTGGTCCAGGCCTGTCTAGGCCACAGTGCCCACCAGCAGTAGCAAGATCTGGTGCTGGGGGGTAGGCCTGGTAGAGGAACTTTAGGAACTCTCCTGCCAGGCCACAGCTCCCACTGGTGCTCCCCAGAACCAGGGCATGGGATGGGCTAGGCTAGGCAGGGCTTGGTTAGGCTGAAACATTCACCAGGTCACATGAGAGCCAGGACTGGGGATGGGCTAGGCTTTAACACCCATTGGCACAAGTAAAAGCTGAAGCTGGAGGCAAGCCTGGTGGGGGTTATTCAGGGTCTTCCAATCTAGGCCACAGCATCTGCCAGTGCACGCGAGAGACAGGCCTGGAAGCAGGCTGGGTTGGGCTCAACAACATCCACGGGTTTGTGTGAGAATTGGAGCTGGGTGACAGGACTAGTCAGTCAGCTGTACCTACTAGTATGAGCATTGGCTACAACAGGGAACGGGCTGAGCCTGATCTTTCACCAGCTGGCATACATGACGGTTAGATCTGAGGACCTCTCAGACTGAGGTTTCTTAGGGGATGCCCCAGCTGGACCACTCTATTCCTGAGATCAGGGAAACCACAGACATGTATGTGGTCAGACCCCGGAGCACATGTTGCAGAACTGGGCAACCTCAGCGGCTGACTCCTATTCTAGAGAGCATACCCCAAAAGACATGACAGCCAGCTAATCTAAGGCAACAGAGGCCCTCAAATACCTCCTCAAACGATGGAAGGACAGGTTCAATAGCACTTCAAGCTAGGTTTTATAACACTCACTTAGGTCTGTGAACACACTGAAGCAGACAGGGACAGCTGACAGACTCAGAATCTCTTACCTTTGCTGCAAAGGAAGCCAACCACTTCTCAGAATAATCAACGCCACTCAAATGACACGCTCAGGACATTTTCCCCTAAACTAAGGTCTCTAAGGGACATCAAATGATCTCTGCCCCCTCTGTCCCAGTGAGCTGATGTACACCAATAGCTAGGAATGGTGGACCTCCATTTCCCCTCTACCCTCCCACCCACCCCTGAGAAGGACACAGGAGGAAAACATTTATCTCACCCACCTTTCCTCCCACCATGACCATCTCCATTGTAATTGGAAGCTCACAGGAGTCTGCCACCCCCCCTCATAATAAATATTAGAATTAACAAACAAAAAATAGCTTGCAGGAGGGAGGAAGAGATGTATCAAGCTGAGGCTTCCAATGACAGAGGCTTGGCAGAGTGGGACTTGGAGGTCGTGATGCTGGTAGGTGGTCCCTGCAGGTGCCATACCCCTCCCACCAGCTCCAACATCTCCCTGTCTCGCTTTAGGCTTGCTCCCCAAATCCTCCATCCCAGCCACCAAATAGAGGGTGCACTCTGCCTGCTGCACACATGTCCACAAGGCCATGCTCCTGGCCAAGAAGTCACATGGCTTGGCACAGCCCATCCACCTTGATGACCCAGTGGAGCCCTTTGGACCCTGTGTACCAGTGCCAATACCATGTCCTCTTTGAAAGCTCCCATGACCTCTCCCAACCCCTGGACCTTTTTCCCTGTCCTGTTAAGCCCCATAGCCCCACTGTCCTGGCAGCTCTCTTAGGTGCAGATGCTTGGGATTGATTGGGCAATGGACACCACTAGCACGTCCAGAGCACTAAGGGGACACACACAGGGACATTCAAGCTTCTCTCCCTCTCACACACACAGATTTGAGAAGAGGATGTTTCCGTTCGCAGGTGCAAAAGGCGGTCTAAGCGATGCAAGGCCAGGCAGCTCCTGTTCATGGACAGGATGGGGCCTCCTCAGCTTCATCTGACACAATATATTTGCCATTCACCTGCTTGATGGCCTGGATGTTGCCAGCCCTAAGAACCCCTCAGCACCTAGGACCACTGCACCAGACCCGGGGGGGGGGGGCTTTTCTCTGCTTGCCCCTCAGATCCCAGAGGCCCACCCAGCCAGGCACCCATGGCATATATGCACTGCCTGCAGGTGCATACCCACAATACCCACAACCCTGCTCATAGGAGCAGCAGCCACTCATCTCCCCAGCTCTCTGCCACTGCTGGCTCCTGCTCCCATACCGAGCCTGCTTTTTGTCCACTGGCTAAGAGCCTCCATCCATCAGGTTGGACCAAGGCAGACCCTTTCTGGCAGCACTGTGGGTTCCAAGGACACAAGAGACCAAAGGGGTTTTCTTCAAAACCATGGGATGGAGCTGGAGGAAATCAAACTTAGTGTGATGAGGAGCAATGCCGGGTCAGTCCCCATTAATCACCAGTCGAGGGCAGACTCAGGACTGGCACCTCGGCTGGCCCGACACCTCCCTCGGTGTGTGTGTATGCGCGGGGGACCGCAGGGGAGAGGAGCCCAGAGGTTACCATAATCGTGGGTACCAGCTTCCTTCCAGTGGGTGGGGGCAGCAGGTGTTCCTGGCAGGCTGGCCTGACCTCCTGGGTTCCAGGGGCCTGGTTCCCCCAGCCCAGTCTCCACTTGGCAGCCTGGCTTTATGACTTCATTTGCTGAAGTCATCTGGAGACAATGCTGAGCGTTCCACACCCCTCTCCGAGTCTAGGCCCAGCCTGGCCAGACGACTCCCTGCAGTGCAAATGAGGACCATGCCCACTGGCCCACGTGGGGAGGGGATGTAGAGGGACAGCGGCGCCGGCCGCTCCTGGCACCATGGATGATGCCGCGGTCCTAAGGAAGAAGGGTTACATCGTGGGCATCAATCTGGGCAAGGGCTCCTATGCCAAGGTCAAGTCTGCCTACTCTGAGCGCCTCAAGTTCAACGTGGCGGTCAAGATCATCGACCGCAAGAAGACGCCCACCGACTTCGTGGAGAGGTTCCTTCCTCGGGAGATGGACATCCTGGCGACCGTCAACCACCGCTCCATCATAAAGACCTATGAGATTTTCGAGACATCAGACGGTCGCATCTACATCGTCATGGAGCTCGGGGTCCAGGGCGACCTCCTTGAGTTCATCAAATGTCGGGGGGCTCTGCATGAGGACGTGGCGCGCAAGATGTTCCGCCAGCTTTCCTCAGCCGTCAAGTACTGCCATGACCTGGATGTCGTCCACCGCGACCTCAAGTGTGAGAACCTCCTCCTTGACAAGGACTTCAACATCAAGCTGTCAGACTTCGGCTTCTCCAAGCGCTGCCTGCGGGACGGGAGCGGCCGCATTGTCCTCAGCAAGACCTTCTGTGGTTCAGCAGCATATGCGGCCCCCGAGGTGCTGCAGGGCATCCCCTACCAGCCCAAGGTCTATGACATCTGGAGCCTGGGCGTGATCCTCTACATCATGGTGTGTGGCTCCATGCCCTACGACGACTCCGACATCAAGAAGATGCTGCGCATCCAGAAGGAGCACCGCGTTGACTTCCCACGCTCCAAGAACCTGACAGGTGAGTGCAAGGACCTCATCTATCGCATCCTGCAGCCGGACGTCAGCAGGCGGCTGCAGATCGATGAGATCCTCAGCCACTCCTGGCTGCAGCCGCCTAAGCCCAAGGCCATGTCCTCAGCCTCCTTCAAGAGGGAGGGGGACAGCAAGTATCGAGCCGAGTGTAAATTGGATGCTCGCCAGGCCTCCCGGCCCGAGCACAAGCTGGGAAACAAAGCCCAGCAAAGGCTTCTAGCGATGCCGGAGAAGGAGGACAAGGTGGAAGAGAGGCTGGCCGAGACCCCCAGGACCAAAGACCATCACATCTCCGGAGCTGAAGTGGGGAAAGCCAGCACCTAGCAGTGGTTGAGGACCCGGGAGGGGCACTGCTCGTGGTGTGTGCTTCCCGTACACCAAGTAGGCAGATAGGAGCGGAAGAAGGCACAGGTGCACCGAACAAGTAAAATTCATCAATTAAAACACTATTTTGATTACGTTCTATTAGCTTTCTTCCACTTAGTAGCGAAGACGTTAAAAAAACTGCTGACAGTCAAATAAACCATGAAGTGTATACCAGCATCTGGAACGCCCGATGAGGAGTCTTTTTCTGCAGGATTCAGCCAGCTGCTTGCTCTGCAGTGCGGGCTGGGGGATGGATGGGAGGAGGTTCCAGGGACTCACGCTTAGGCACAGGCAGGCAAGCCCAGGGTGAGGCCTTGTGGACAGGGCAAGAAGAGGACAGCTGTTGGATGGGGGTCCCCCCCAAGTCCTGGCAAGAATCCTCCCCAGACCTGCCCATTCCTAATACCTCCAACGGAGCAGCGCCACACCTCTCCCCTGCCTCTACAGAGCAGCCCATCTGCCTCATTCGGCTCCCTTGCTCTGTGTTCTCTTCTCTGAGAACACACAGGTCAGGAACCGCCTCAAACCCTAGGGGTATTCCACCCGACCTTTGTCCTACGCCCTCCCCACCTGGTGAGCCTGGCAGGCTCCGATAGCAGCACTGGCTGATGGCGCCCTGGCCAAGGTCCTGTGCTTCTCTGGTCACCCATGGCTTCCAGGGGATGACCAGGGGAATGCCCTGCTGTGCAGGCCACGCCCGCTGGAGACAGCCAGCTCCTGGACAGCAGCTCTTCCCCTTCCTTCCACAGGCCTCTGCTTCCCTACTGCCTGAGGACTCCCAAAGCGCCACCTCCTGCCCCTCGCAGTGTTCCTTGCTGTGGGTTCCAGGGCACAATGATCCTACTGTGGACTGTTGGGCTAAGGTGTGGGCCCTGGACCAGGCCCCAGAGTCAGTACTCGGGACGGGGGCGGGGAGGAGAGGGGGTTAGAGTCCAGGGCTGGAGGGCCAGGCTGGGGCGGGGGCTCAGAATCCAGGGAACTGCCAGTGGATGCCCAAGGAAAGAAGGGCATGGCAGGTAGACTGAGGTCTTAGGCTCAGTGGGTAGTGTCCCTCAACTTTGTAGACCAGCCCAGAGTGCCCAGGACACCTGGGGAACAGCAGGGGCCCAACCTGAGGATTTCTCCTAGTTTTCCCTGACAGAGCAAATGCAAGGAGCAGGAAAGGAGGTTCCCCCTGAGCCAGCCAGCTGTTCTTTAATAACAGCCTGGGGGTAGCTCCATAGAAAAGAGTTCCAGGAGGGCTCAGGGCACAGCACCCCTGCAGAATGGGCCAGTGCCACTGGGCAGGTACAGGCACTGTCCGCTGCAGTCATCATGCTCCCACTGCTGCTGGCCCGGGCCTGGGTCCCTGGCGGCTGGAGTCCTCTCTCCACTGAGCAGAGCTGCCCAGCAGGCTCTGTAAGTGTCCGCAGGCCTGGCCCGGGCCCAACCCTAAAAAAAATCAGAGGCTTTGCGCCGGGCGGGGAGCTGCAGCAGGTTGTCTGTGATAGAAGCTGGATCCTGTGTGAGTGGTGTGCGTGTGGCCGAGCCAGGGGCCGGTGTGCTCGTGGGGGTCTGCGGCCCACTGGCGGGGGTCTTGAGGAGGGTGGAGCGTGCTGGAGACGGTGTGTAGCTGGCCCTCAGGGCGCGGTCTGTGTACTTGCTGGTCGTCCTGCTCACAAGGCGCTGCAGGGCGGGGGACATGGCTGGGCTCAAGCCTTTGGGGGTGAGGCTGTGGTGGAGGAATGGCGAGAGGCAGGATTAGGTGGACCAGGGGCTGCAGCAGCAGAGCATCACTCAGCCCCCTGGAGGAGCCCTGTTGGTGCATGGCCATCGTAACCAAGGAAGACAGAACCACAATGGCCCTGTCTGGGAGCTGAGGTGACCTGCAGCCTCTGAGAGTTGCAGCCCCCACCCTTTTCCAAGGGGAAGGAAGATAGCTTATCCACAGGGCTATTTTAGGCACCTGTCGGGGGTGGGTTGGGGGGCAGCGTGGGGACAGCAGCTAGACAGGGCTGCACGTTCTATGCTGCGTGGCACCCATGGAGAAACCCACGAGAAGCTCAGCAAGCCATGTGGCCAACACAGCAGGGCAGGCGGAGCTAGGACTGGGAGCAGCCATCCCTCACCTGGCCAGATTTTCCGTCACTCTCCTCAAGGCCTCCTGCTTCTTGGCTCGGTTCTTGGCAGCTGCCTCATTGGCCATCTTCAGCCCCAGCCGCTCCCTGCGGCCCGGCTCTAAGATCTACAAGCACAACAGGTGTGAGGAGTGGTTCGTGCCAGTCCTGACATTGAGCCAGGTATCTCCTTACCTGGAAGGACAGTCACTGTGGGTACCAGGCTCTCCCTTTGGGACCAGCCAGTCTCAATGACTCACTGTTGACTCCCCTTTTTAGGTCCTTTGGAAACCTCCCACCAGCATGTCTGACGCACCTGCCTGGAAGTGGCCTTCCCAGCCTCCCATAGCCAGGACTGCTAAGATACGGACCCCTGATGAGCCTGTAGAAAAAGGGGTACCTTTTGGCTCACGGTGCCAGCAAGCATCTGTCTGTATTGATCCTTCGCTTTCTTGCCTGGCAGGTGCTTATCTTGGGCTGCCATTTTGCCCTCGTTACTTACAAGGACTTTATCTGTATCAATTAGCAGCTTCAGGTCATACACATCTTCCAGTTATTTGCTACAATTTTAGTTATTTTTATGCCATACTTAAGTTTCCCACTTTCTTTTTTAAAGGTTTATTTTTATTGCAAAGTCAGACTTGTAGAGGGAAGGAGATAAACATCTTCGATCCGCTGGTTCACTCCCCAAATAGCTGCAGCAGCTGGAGTTGAGCTGATCTGAGATCAAATCCGGAATGCCGGCTCCAATCTCAGCTACTCAGCTTCCAATCCAGCTCCCTGACAATACACCTAGGATGCAGGAAGGGAGATGGCTTAAACCCTTTGGCTCCTAGCTTTAGCCTGGCCAGGCCCTAGCTGTTGGCGGCATTTGGGGCATGGGCCAGCAGACAGGAAAGCTCTACCTTTCCTTCTCCTTGTGCCAAGCCACGGCTCCTGGGTCCCAAGGCACACGGGGCCTCACGACAAGCTCGAGCGCCTTACGGCACAGGTTCCTCCTCATCCCCCACCTTTGTCTTGGACCCTTGCATCCCAGACACATTTTCGACCTCAAAGCTGCTATCCCACAGTCCTGGGGCCTACGGAGCAGCAACAGCCTGGCTGGCTGTGAACAGAAGCCATGCATGATAAACGTATCCACCTCGGCTCTAAGACGTGCTCCAGCAGCTGCGCGCAGGGTGGGGGAGGACGGGTGGAAGTGTCAGACCCCAGGCTCAATCCTAACCTGCAGGGACTTGGGGTTCCTCAGGTACCCACATGGCATCCCTCCTCTGCTCCCCACACCCCAACGCACCTTGAAGGCTGGCCCAGGAGTCCTGTCCACGTAGGGTGTCTCGGAGCCTTCTACTCTCAACGGGGTGTTCTCAACCTCCCCCCAGGTCATCAGCGGGGACTCATTGACACCTGTGGATAGAAAGCCCACCACCACCTCAGTCAGGGTACCCTGGCGGGGCAGCCAGCCAAAGCCCCAGGGGCACTCCACCCCCTCCACCCCAGGATTCCAGAACACTAGCATCTCCATCATCTGGGGGCGCAAGGCCGTCCCAGGCTTCTGCAGCCAAGGGCTCAGCCTGGGAGCTGGGAGGCCCTGCCCCTCCTCGCACCAGGTACAGGCAATCTCCATTGCCCCAGTGGAGGAGAAATTCAGGTTTTCTCAAGGCTCACCAATGCCCTAGAAGTCACATCCACACACCCTGGCCTGTGTCACAGGCACTAGGTCACAAAGGCCCTTCTGTACTACGGGACCAATCAAGGTCTCTCCAGCTTCTAGGTGAGGACACTCGGGGCTCCAGGCCCAGAGCTCCACTCTCCAGTGCCCTCTGGACCTGGGTGAGCAAGCAGGGCTCACTCAACACCCCACCCGCTGTCCTAACAAGGAATGGGATGTCTCCGGTCAGGCCTGCCTGAGTGCGGCCCCCTCCCACCAGGGCCCCAGTCATCCCATTTTCTCACCAGGGGCAGGAGAAGGCGTCACAACGAATCCAAAGCCACCCACGCGGGGGGACTCCTGGGGGATCAGCTCCTTGCCATCAGGGCCCACCTTGCCCTGTTTGTGCTGATGCAAGCAGAAAGGCCAGAGTCAAGGGCGGGCACCCACTCCCCGCACTGGCCACAGGAGAGGTGAGGAGAGGCTTGCTGGAAGCATCCTTGAAACAAAGTTACCAGCCCTCCTGGGGAAAGAGGGGGAACCTCCCCACCACAGCAGGGTGCCATCCCTCTTCTCAGCCAGGGAGTTCCAGGCCCCAGCCACGGGTGGCTGCCCACCCCAGCTACTCCCAGAGGGCACCAATGGCAGGCCCTCAGCCAGGGCGACACAAACTCCGGGGTCTGGGCTCTCTACCCTCTGCGACATTTGGAAAGCCTCTGACGTGTCCACCTCCTGCCCTGGTCCCATCACCATGAGTGAACACCCTCTCAGCCTGCTCCCAGGCTGGGGAGATCTGCCCCCACCAGCCCTGTCCCACCCCAGTCTGCCCTCTGGGGCCACACTCCCCCCCACCCACCCACAGCCCTCACTGGCCAGCTTCTCTCATACCCTCAGCATCAAGGGAGCTGGCACAGATCTGGGTCCCCAAAGCGGGCCTCACTGAGACAGGGTCCCAACAGCAAGGAGGACTTGGGGACTGCCACGTAAGAGTCCCAGCAGGTACCTCTACCGGTGAGCTCCACTTCAGCCCAAGGACAGTCCTGGCTCAGCACAGACAGGGAAATGCCCCCCTTTCTCCATACCACAGCCTGCCAACCCCTCTGGCTCACCTGGGCGTTGAGGGCGGCTGCCTGCTGCAGCTGGGACCGGCTCAGGGCCTGGCTGAAGGGGTCCCGGAGGAAGCGCGTGTTCTTATGCACCACCTGCCGGGGCTTCTTAAACAGCTGCTCTTCATCAGGGACACCTGGCAGATGGGGGTGGGTGTCACAGTGGGTGGAAGCAAGTTGTCAGAGGGATGGGCCCAGCCCTGAAGGGCAGTGATTCAGGGACACAGACACTCACCCACCAACACACACACACACACACACACACATACACACACACACACACACGCAAAGGAGCCACTCACCCACCAACACACACACACACATACCACACACACACACACACACACACACGCGCGCGCACGCGCGCAAAGGAGCCCAGCCACTCACCCTCAGGGTAGTACATGAGGGAGTTCTTGGCCTTGTACTTCCAGGTCTCCACGCCAGCCTGGCTGCTCTCGATGGCTTGGTGCTCTGCCGACGGGAGCGCAAGGTTATCTTTCTGTCTCTGCAACCGCGTTGGGGAGAGTGAGTGTCAATCAAGGGGGCCCCTCTACAGCCCTGGGACTCCCCCTAGCCAAGAAGTGCGCCTACACGCTACACGGCCCCCCCCCCCATGCTCTCAGTCACACCTTCTCGAATTCTTCCTCGGCCTGGTACAGCCAGGCATGTCGGGCTCGGTTCTTTTCCTTGGCCACCTCCATGATGTCCTGGAAGGAGGCATTGTCCTCGCTGGTGTAGCGGCTCAGGAAGACGTCCAGGCTGGGCAGTGGCTCCTTCTCCTCCTCCTCGGCAGCCTCCCCTGCTGTGGGTAGCGAGTGGGGTGGGGGACGGTGTACCCACAGCACTGACACCACTCGGCACCCTGTCCCAGGGCTGTGCTCCCTGGAACCCACACTGCCAGAGGTGACCCCACGAAGCCCTCAAGGGCACCTTGCCAGCTTCACTCACCTGCTGTATAACAAGAATTGTGTGACCTGATTCAGACTGGGGGGGGGGGGGTACACTGAGCACCATGGCAGGACTTTTCCCTCATCCCCCCAAGATCTACCTCAACAGCCTTCTCCTCAGCACATCCCTATCCCACCTGCTTCTCCCTTCCTCTGGCTGCCCTGTGGGTGGGTGTTAGTCACCTAAGGCCCTGTGGCAGGGTCTCCCATGAACCAGAGCACTCTGCAGGTGCTGGGTCCGCTGCCCTGGTGTGCACGAGGGGCATGGCGGCTGGGCTAGCACAGCCGGTCGCAGATGAGAACCCAACAGGTGACAGTGCCCCAACCATCTGCACAGGCATAACGGACAGTCTCTGCTGACAGAGACGCTGGGGTTTGGGGGCCCCTGAAGTCAGACTCCAGCTTACAACACTGCTGCATGCCCACGTGCCTTAAGTGCTAAAGAGCACAGCCGGGCAGCACGCTTTCCTGGAACAGCTCTGGAAAGGCACGGACCCATCACAGCCCTGCTCTCAGGGGAGGGGGACACTAGGCTTCAGGGCAGCTGACAACCACAGGGACAGAAGCCTTTTTCAATATCACGTCTTGGAGTTAGGCAAAGAGCCACAGGACACCTGAGGCACCAGGCAACAGTGAGGTTTCCCTGGAGGGCTGATCGGCCAGTGCAGGAGCCCCGGGACCTGGAGGAGGGGAGGAAGGGGCCTTCTGGGCCCACCCACCCAACACTCACCTGCGGTGGCCTCACATTTAGCAGCTGCACCCCTCAGGTCGCTATGTGGGCATGGAGAATCGTTCGGGGATGAGGTTTGCAAGCCCTTTGGGCCACACGCCACCCCAGGCCCCATAAGAGTGGGATTTCCAGATACCCCTGACTCTGTGATTGAATTGGGAAGAAGGGGAGAAGGAGACACTTACCATCCTCCAGGCCTCGGCCTCGGGGCCTGAGCTTGTTGCCTACCACAGCTGGGCCTGTGTGCACCTCAGGGGTTTCAAATGTAGCTGGGGTCACATCTAGGAGAAGGAAGAGGAGGTGTGGATTAGAGCAATCCTGAAGCTATAGCCTAGCACGTTCACCCGAACTCCGTGCCCCTGCCCCCACCCCCACCTCTGCAAGGTCCCCTTACAAGGCGCAGGCTCTCGGGACATCTTGCCCAGGGCGGAGCCAAACTTGATGGCAATCTGACGCATGCGTTCCAGATCGCCGCTCTCCTCGGCCTCCAGGTACTCCTTCTGCGCCTGCAGCTTCTCCACATCGGGAAAGAAATCCCTCTGAATGACCTTCTGCAGACCCTGCCAGGAGACGACCAAGCACAGCTGTCACCAGAGTTCACTCTAAGCCCCCGCTCCACCTGCTTTCTGCAGGCCCTTGGCAGGAAGCCCGAGCATCTCCCGGGACTGGGCTGCAGCAGCCAACATCGCTCTTCTGACGTCAACACGGCCTTCCTCTGCTGCCGGGGCCCGCTGCACCTGCACGCAGGCCAGACCAACGTGGGTGCTGCTGCCACCACCAGCAACCCATACCTACGGCCAGGTTTGCCTCTGAGCTGCACATCTGCCACTCAGAAGCTGCCTACACAGTCTAGAACCAAGCTGACAGACGTGCGGTTCTGCGGCTGCGTGAGCACAGTAGGACCACACCCCCTTCCCGGGCTCCAGCCACTATTCAGTCACTCAGGGATGCCACCACAACCGCAGGTCATGTAAAGACCCTCAGCCTTCATGGGTCCACCGATACCGTCCCTCCTGCGTGGCACGCCTCTCCCCAAACAGGTCCCCAGCCCAGTCCTCACTCTCCACACCTACGCATGCAGGTGCCCCTCCCGGCCCTGGCTATACTGCCCAGGACCTCTGCCACCGCGGACACCTCCCTCTGCACCATCCACTCGGCTCTCGGGACTGTGCGCACTCCAAGGGCGCACACTGAAGGAAGAGCCCGCACAGCAACACCAGGGACCCCCGCAGTGGCAGAGGGACCCGGAAGTCGCCAGTGCCCAGACGGAGGTCGTACCTCGATAAACTCTTCCTCGTCCAGGACCCGAGGCTTGCTGGACGCAGCCCCCAACTCGCTCGCCCCGCGCTTCCTCGGCCGCCCGGACGTAGCCGGGAGCGACAAGTCCCGAGTCCCCGAGCCGGGTGTCTCCATCTCTATCCCAGCGCCGCCCGGACGGCTGCACAGGCGCGTCTGGGAGGCTATACGCGGGCCTGCCCTCCTTTGCGCAGGCGCTTCCTCCCCTTTGGCCAATAGCGACACTGCGCATGTGTTTACGCTAGTCTGCGCTCAGTAGTTGCGTCACTCAGAGCGCAGCCCCTCCTGGGAGTTGTAGTTTGACTTCGTGCGTGTATGGGCTGCCGGCACGCGGGGGCGCTGTGGTGGGTGAGGAGCCATGGGCGTGTCGTTCATGCTAGCAGACATTTCTGCACCGACCCAGGATTCGGGAATTGAACTCAAGTAAACAAATCAAGGCACGCGTCAACGTGATTCACAGAAACACGCTCCGAAAAACCTCAATCTGTGCGCATTTCAAACTTTATGAGAATAGAGAACCTCCAAAGATTCCCTCTTGAGGAGAAAGAACAAAACCAAGTGTCTGCATTGTGAGGCCTCTGAACACTAGGAAAGCACTAATTCCCATTGTGGTGGCCCGAAAGCAACTGTTGAGGAATGTCTCCCCTCAGGAAGACCACGAGTAGGGTCCGATACAATATGTCTGCTCCAAATGGTGTGGCACAGCTTTGCTTTTTATCCTATACCGCTGCTCCCCTGCCCCCACCGGAGAATCCTATCATGACAAACACATAAGACATATCAGCTACATCCTGCCACAAAGAAGTGCAAAATTGCAGAAGAGAGCTTGGGGATTGGCTGAGTCGTTGTTTGATCTGCTGCTGCAAATAGTGGCATCCTGTGTGGACACAGGTTCAAGTCCCAGCTGCTTCGCTTCCAATCCAGGTCTCTGCTAATGCATCTGGAGAAGATAGCCTAAGAGTTTGGGCCCCTGCACCCTCGTGGGAGACCCGGAAGAAGCTCTCAGCTCCTGATCAGCCCAGTTCCAACTAGCAGTTGGAAGGTCTCTCTCTGACTCCTCTACTCTTTGCATTTCTGCTTTTTAAATAAATAAACAGAGGGCCCGGCACAATAGCTTAGTGGTGGCTAAAGTCCTTGCCTCAAATGCACTGGGATCCCATATGGGCGCTGGTTTTAATTCTGGCAGCCCTGCTTCCCATCCAGCTCCCTGCTTGTGGCCTGGGAAAGCAGTCGAGGATGGCCCAATGCTTTGGGATCCTGCACCTGCGTGGGAGACCCGGAGGAAGTTCCTGGCTCCTGGCTTTAGATTGGCTCAGCTCCAGCCAATGCAGCCACTTAGGGAGTGAACCATCGGATGAAAGATCTTCCTTTCTGTCTCTCATCCTCTCTGTATATATGACTTTGCAATAAAAATAATAAAGAAATATTTAAAATGTAAATAAATAGATAAATCTGTTAAAAAAAAAAAAACTGCAGAAGAATGAAAAAAGCTTCTATTTGGGGAACCATGGCCCAGTGAGGAAAGCCATAGGACATTTCATTGGCAAAAAAGTGTGATTGTAAACCCAAAAGATAGACTTGTGCACACTGGTCAGGTGCAGAGAGAAGGGTGTGTTCGAGGGCCTGGCGGTGGGAGGGAGAAAAAGCACACTGCCCAGCACCTGCTTGGATTTGCAGAGTGCAGAGAGCTGTGAGGGGAAGCCAGACATCAGGCCAGGCTGCACCAGCGCCTCTGGGGCCACAGCGAGGAGTCTCATCTGTATTCTGAACTCCAGGGGCCCCCAGAACAGGTGCAGTGGACAAGGAGGCAGATGGCAGCAGAGAAGGAAGATCCAGGCCAACAACTGCCCTGCTGTGGGCCTGAGCAGGGACAGAGAGGGAGCTCTCTGACACAGGTGCCTGGTAGACCCAGGGGACAGTTGGACATCAGGACCCATCCCAGTGGCAGACCTGGATGGAACATGCAAGTACGGGATTGAGGAGGCTCCAAACCTAGTCAGTTCTGAAACGTGAGCTCAAAAACAAGCGGAGTCAGAGCTTGGGGGGGGAGGGTAAAAGAAACAACACAGGTAGAGAAGAGAGAAGGGGGCAGTGGATGGAACCCACCATCTCCCTTGCAGGGCCCAACCAGGTGTGACAACCCAGTGTGCCAGGGGCAAGGCTGGGACACAAAGTGCAGAGCTTCGTGGCAGCTCGGAGCAAGCACCCCAGAGCATACAGGCAGGAGCCTGAGCCTGGCAGGTCAGGGCAGCTCTGGCCAGGAGCCCCATGGCAGCCTGGAATTAGCCTGCCTGGTCAACTTTGCCTTGTCCCAGCCCTTGAACTCCCAGCTTTTAACGACTGAGCTGTGTGTGTCTCCTGCAGGTTCCACCCTTCCTAGCCTTTCTAACCTGAAAGGAGACCGAAGGGGCTGCTGAGACAAGAGTGGGGCTGGGGAGGGCAGATGCAGGGTATCTGGGCACCTGCGACCTGCCCCCCCCCCCCCCAGAGGATCCATCTGGGAACAAACACCCAACTTCCACTAAGGTGGCAGAGATGGCTGTGAGGGAGATGCACAGTGAACTCCTAAAGGAAAACGCCCAAGAAGCAAAACCTGGAGCCTCCGCAGACAGCCAGGGTGCCAGGCGCCATTTGTGGAGGTGTCCGCACAGGGTGCAGGGCGCCATCCGCGGAGGTGTCTGCACAGGGAGCCCGGCGCCATTTGCAGAGTTCTCTGGATGGTGGGAACCTGGCACATACTGCACATACTGGGCTGTGCTGGTGGAGACACATGACCCCCCCTCCTGCCCTTCCCCACTCTGGGACAGCCCTCCCCTACCCCTGCGGGGGCGGGAACACACCCAGTATGGGCTTTTCACAGCTTCTTGGACTGCTGCCTTATTTCTTAGTGGTGGAGGCTCAAAGATTTGGGAGCTGGCAAGCAAGGTCGCAGAGATTCCCATTCTGTAGATCTGTGCGCCAAGGCCAAAGTGTGGATAGCCGAGCCGCCACCCAGCCAGCAGAGGAAGGCCAGGAGTGACAGGCGCTCCCCTGGGCAGCACTTGAAGCTCTTGCCCCCCCAAGGGGGTGGAGTGACGGCCGCGTGAGGCCGCCCCACCTCCAAAGCCTTCTCCAGGGACCTCCCATCAGGGCGCCTGGTGCTGGGCACACACATAGCACCCACCCCCCACCCCCCACTCTCGTGGCAGACCCTGACACGGTTCCCAATGCCCTCAGTAGCTCTCCTTCAGGGGTTTCTTGGCGCCAAGCCTCGCCGACGCTGACACCGAGGCGCGCTTTTGATGGCGCCACTTGGCTCTCCGGTTCTTGAACCAGACCTGAGGAAGAGAAGGAGGGAGTATTCAGGTGCTGCAGGGACCACGCCCCCGCACCCTTCCGAGGTTCGAGGCTCGGAGAGGCGGGCAGAGGGCTTCCTCGAGCCCCTCTTCCCTGCAAAGCCACCAAACCTAGTCAGTTCTGAAACGTGAGCTCCAAAACAAGCGGAGAGAACCTTACTGTTCAGGTCCGAGGACGCCCGTGCGCATGCACGCACGCACCTCTCCCGGTTCACTTCTAGGGTTCGCCCGCGCCCGGGGCGCCGAGGCCCGCACACCCACCTCCACGCGCTCCTCACGCAGGCGGATGCGCCCGGCCAGGCGCTCACGCGTGCCCACGTCGGGGTACTGGTTCTGCACGAAGAGTGCCTCGAGTGCCTGCAGCTGCTCCTCGCTGAAGATGGTGCGGTGGCGACGCGTGCGTCGCTGCGGGCCGGGGCCGCCTGCCACCGATAGTGCCCCGGAGCCGCCGAGCGGCGCGGCCAAGGGTAAAGGCGCCGCGGGACCCAGCCTCAGTGGCCACGGCAGTCGCGCACCTGCTGAGCGACGGCGGGGTAAGGCGCTGGCCGGGCGGTTGAGTTTCGCACCCATCGCGTCCCCAGGGAGTCCCCGGCCCCGCGCCATGCTGTCGCCCACTCACCTAGCCCGGGAGCCGCCTCCGCGGGCCTGCGGGGCACGGCGCGGGGCCCACAGCAGCAGCAGCAGGCGCAGGGCACGGCGTCCGGTGCCTCGGGCTCTCCCGGCTCCGCGGGGCGCTGGCGGCGGCCGGGAGCCGGCGGTGGCGTTGGGGCCGGCGGCGGCGGACGGGCTGTCCCTGCCGGGGCACTGCGCTCCGGCAGGCTGGAGAGGATGTGCTCGATGGAGAAAGGGCAGGGCCGCCCGGGGCCCCTGCGGTTCGTCGCCACCACCGCCATGCCCGGCCCGCCCGGCGGCCGCAGCCACCGCGACGGGAATATATACGTCGAGGGGTGGGGGGAAGCGCGCCGTAATCCTCGGACCGAGCGCCGCGTCCACGCGGGCTAATCCCGCGCGCCGCGCCGTCCCGGAGCTCGCTAATCCCCAAGTACGGCGGCGGCGACCAGGCCGCCCCGCCTGGGTGCGCGAAGAGGGAGCGGGGCAACGAAGAAGGGGCTGGTTGGTGGGGTCCCGTGGAGGTCTTCGTGCCCTGCCAGCTCGCTGATGCCTGGTACCCCGACCGTAACCCCTTTCCTCAGCTTCGAACGGGACCCAAGGACGCACAACCGCAGGAACCTCAGCCCCGTAGCTTTCCTGGCTTCGGCAACAGGTCACCTGCCCTGGGCACCCCCCTGCCATCCCTCGCCTTCTCCCTGAGGGACTCCAGCCCCTGTTCCCTGCTGAGCCCAACCACGCCCACCCCCACCCCCAACACATATGTTCATGTGTACACACACACAAAGTGAGGCTGTCTCATGTCGCAGGTGGATGCCACCTTCCCACTTCTGGCTCTAGGCTAGTCCTACCCTACCCTGGTCACCTTGGACCTCTGCCACTGCCTGTCTGTGACACTGCATAGATTTCCTGACCCCCTCTGTGCCCTGGTTTCCCAATCTATAAACTGACCAACATGGTTCCTCTTGGGATTTGGCCATTTGCAGGCCTGCTTTGCTGCCAGTGCTCTAGACAACCCATGTTTTGTTCAAAGCAAAGAATTCATTCCTCCGCAGAAATATCATCACACTTCCATGCCAAAATTGTCTAAATTCACTACAGTGCGCTTGAGCAGACTGCCAATAGATCAGAGAAGTCCTGAACCTGTCATACTCAGGAGTTCCACTAGGAAGGAGGTGGCTGGGCCCGGTGCAATGGTTCATCTGAC